TATTTTCATTGTCGCTCTTTTTCTCAATTAAAATACGAAATGTCAAAACAAGCACCTCCACATTTGGACTGTCAGACATCTTGGTACAGACTGAATTGTGCTGACATCTGTATCCCGAAGGAGACCTGGCAGTGTCCTGCCCCATCTTGAGAACTAGTCTTAAAAATACGACGTGAAACTTGACATTAATTATGACTGCGATGTTTGATCAGTGGGTGGAAACAGGTCGCAATATGGCGGACTTAAGTGTCTTCGTATCTCTACGCAGTAAAGCGCCGTCTTAATTCATTCAAACTTTAGCGCGTGTAAGACTTGCGATTGGGTTGCATTCTTGCTGTACAGCAAGGTACTCAATGGAACACTCAGTCAGAAGCGAGCAGGTGCATCCCCCTTCCCAATTCTGCCACTCGTTCTCACCCGCGTTTCATATTATGGTCATACGAGGAAAGAATAGAAAGCAGTTAGGAGTCACATTTCCAACATGAAAAAGCTTTTTTTAATATCAGGGTAAAATAATATTCAGTTAAAGTTTGTTTGTTATACAAGGAAAATACAATGCTATGACGTGTTAGTTCACACCACAGTTATTCGTTACCTTAGGTGACATCGACGTATTTTCTGTAAGCATGAATCACGAAAATTTGACTGATTTGGTCCTAAATATTACGAAACAAATCGCCAGTTAGCAGTTACACAATAATAAACGTGGTGATTTACGCAGTTCACTCAATACTATTAGGATCTGATATTTTCTGTAAACATGAATCACGAAAATGTGACTGATTTGGTCCTAAATATTACGAAACAAATCGCCAGTTAGCAGTTACACAATAAGAAACGTGATGATTTATGCAGTTCACTCAATACTATTAGGATCTGGATGGTTATGGGAAAGACAAGGCACCCATGCAGAAATTTGGAGGGAAACCTCTTGAAATATGACCACTTGGAGAACGAATATGTGAGGATAATATTAAAATGGGTCGTTGAGAATTGGTAGAAAAGGGATATGGATAAGAATGAAGAGTTGTCCCTAAAATGTCTGACATGATTTCAAAAAAATTGTTGCTTGGGAATATGTGTTTCAGCTATTTATTTATATACATCGATCAGATCCCAGATAGTTACGAAGACTACAGAGACCGTGATCGAGCGACCCCCCACGAGAATATTTTCCGCATCAACGATGTCTGGTATTCGAACCTTGATTGCAGTCTTTTCTACAGAGCAGTAAAACAGCCATAAAAGTTGCGACCATTTGACAGACAACCCGGTTTAACGTCCATAATAACATTCGTGAAGAGACGACACGGTCGTAAACCGGATGTTACTGGAAACACTTTGCTCTAAAAACATTCTCACATTATAGCTCTGCTTATAACAACTGAAGTCGAAGTTGAAGTCTTGAAAGGAAAAAGAAACATGAGATACGTAGGCGTAGATTAGAAGATAACACAGGGTGTGGCAGTTTTATTAGAGTAGTACTCTGGCTTCCTTGGGAAGAGGATGAAACCAAGTAGAGGTCGCGCGAGTAATGGTGGCACCTAAATGCGCGATGTTTAAGCCGAGAGAGGGGAGTTCAGTAGTAGTGGGCTACAGCGCTCAGCTACAGACGCCATTTTAGTAAACATGTATCAGCAGTTGGCTCGGTGAAGTGCGTTCGTAGTAGTGACGTTTTTAATAGGAACTCAACGAATAATCACACGGCATTTTAACACTGGGTGGCATGGAAAGGTTCCTGATCTCAACAACACCAGGAAATTGGTAGCGAAGTTTCGAACTATATCTTCTGGAAAGAAAAAACTGGAGGCAATGTCAGAACCAAACTCTCTACTGTTTGGTTACAACAAGATAGAGCGACAGCAGTCGACGTACATTTTAAGGACTGTTTAATCGTCGAATAATTTCCGCTATGGCTACAACACGTCACACGCGAGTTATAATTCGATAAAAATGAGAGATTAGTCGGACCCACAACGTTATTACTGCGAACGGTGCACACAAGACCAGATTATGGTCAAGGCCACATGGCCTCTCACGCAGACCATGCAGCCGCTGGTCCTACCGCCGTATGACCCTGCATTCGGACCCAACCCCCGGTCACAAATCTGGACACAGCCGAAACAGACCAAATTTTAAGTTGTGGTACCCACGCCGAAGACCTCTACTAGTTGCTCATTCAACTAGTAAGTCGTTGCCAGGTAAAACTATGTCCCATGTAATCTGTGCCTACTAAGATAAGATATTACAGAAGGTATGCCTTATATAAAAGATAGGCCTCAATAAACGCTTACAAAAGTATAGTCGAAATACCCGACTTAGAAGAATTGGGTGCATATGAGTATAATATTAAAAATAATTCTTAATATTATATAGCGTGAGGATGTGTTGTACGATGAACTGGCTGAAGAGAGAGTCAAAATTACGGATTTGCATTAAAACTGTAACATTTTCCAATATTCTTTAAAAAGGGTTTTTCTTGACTAGCGCAGCAACTATCAGTTTCTCAAGATCCTTGCACCATGGTCTTAATAATACATATCATGAAGATTACCGTCTTCTTGGTTATTGCGCCGTGTAGTCTGGTAGATGTTTACCGAAGTTTCAGAGGTCATACTGCCTCCAACACAGCAAGGACCTCTGAAACGGCGGTAAACTTCTACCAGACTACACGGCGCAATAACCAAGAAGACAGAAATCTTCATACTCACCGCTGTGAAAACGTCAAATCCTACATATACATTTATAAAAAGATGATAATGGCTTTTGATGTGTTTGGAAATCATTTCAAGGCGCCTCATTGGTACCACGCTTTTCAATCAGAAGGGCTATAACAATCGAAGGACTTCGTACTGAGAGAAAGAAATGGAGGAAAGAACCATTACTGTCGTCTCTCGTTTTGTGGTGTTCAGAGACATCAGATTCTTAGCGGCAAAGTGAACGACGCCCACGTCGCTCAGACATTCGAGGTCACGGCGTCCGCGTCCCTCTTGTGAAGATGGAAAGAAAACCCACGCATTACAAGACCACAAGCAGCTGCATTAAAGGAAACGGAGAGAGAGCTTTCGGCGGTAAATTTAATATTTCCTTAACAAAGAACCCAAAATTAAATCAAGGTGTACGGTGCGTGGCGGGAAACTGACTCAGTCAGCTACACTAGCGCCACTAGAGACCTTAAGACGACGACACTCGAAACCACGTCTTGTTTTACCTTCAAGACAATTACTTAAATGCACGAGAGGTTTAAGATGATTCTGAAAATGAAATGTAATAATATTAAGGTAAACACAATATCAAACGTATGAAATACCACAATTAACTCCACAGAGCCAAGTTATTATTTAAAAGTTAGTTAGTTCATTATATGAAATCCAAAGACTTGCCATGATGTTCACAAGTTCCCTCCACTGCTCCATATTCTAAACCATATTAATCCATTTTACATCATATATCTCTAATATCCAGTTTAATATTATCCTTCAAGCTTCATATGAAGTTATCTCGGCGCTTAGCACAATCGTTATTGGTTCGACTGTGTAAAGTTTGCAAAAGTGTATGTGGAGGAAAATTTTCTCTGCTTTAATCAATAAACACGACAGTTTCATTTTTAACGACAAAATTATTCAGTAGAATGATAGTTCAGTTACGTTCGGGTTTTTAAATTGTTAAGCTGTAAAAACCGTCATGATTTACTCAATGGAAATTTGAAGCCAACATTTACAGACCTAAACCTAACATAGTCAAAAGGGAAAATCGTATTGAATATGACACGAAATGGAAATGCGAAACTCGTAGTAAGAGAAATTCACGGGACAAGACAATGGGAAGAGGATATGATATGGAAGTCGACAGGGTTGCAGGAATAGAGGAGAGCTGACAGTTGAATAACAGGGATAATTTTTGAGCAGTAACTGGTAACACTAGTGATTTGGCTGGAAGTCAGATCATGTGTCAATACGAACCCGTATTCAGCGTCACAGTGTTTGTTTGTAAATGCGTCATTAACAGCATTCTGTCCGTTTGCTACAAGCATTAAAGAAAAGAGATTTGCTTATAATTTTAGTAAAATCGTGATTGTTACAGTCCAATCCGGAATCAGTACATACACCGGAGTCTTGAGACCCACAGTCTCGAATATCAGAGCCAGACGTTCAGATCATCGTCATCTGTTGTTTTTCAACGGACTCGGTTGCTGTGAAATTGTTCCTTCAAAACAATTGAAAGTGGTAATCGTTAGCATTGCCGATCTCATTCTACAGGTCCAGAATTCTAATCTTTATCCGGAAACCGTTCTTCTGAGTCGATGGCTCTCTTCAGACACTCCAGGCAATTGTCAGGATAGTACCTTTAATTATACCATGGCAAGTTCCTTCCATATCCTTTACAATTCATCGTTTCTTAATCATCCACATTAGACGCTACATAGTCTGAGCTGTTGACAGATGAATAAATATACGATAATTCACGAAAATAAACAAAAGAGACAGTCAACCAGGTATTTTAACATCGGCGTTTAGAACGTTTATAGCAGAGTCGAAAAACGTTAAATTTTTAGCCGTATTGTGCAACATAAAAGCGTACCCCCCATGAAGTACATGGACGTCAATGTCGGAACACATCTCTCTCGTTGTTCGTCCCGCTGTGACCTTTTCATTTTTCCAAAACTAAAAATGTCTGGGCATTTATAGCAATGTGACAGTGCTCAAAGACTAGAGAGAATTAATGGCTGAGACGTTGCAATGGGGTCAGATGGGGTAGCCATGGTGTGGCTTAGTGACCGTATGGATGATGTGAACCGGGACTTATTTAAATCGCCAAATTAAAACATCAGACGTTCCAACATCAATAAAACCTACGTCACTACAAATAATTTTTAAATAAATTCAACAGTACGTAAATGCTAAAATGCATCTTATCACAGCATATTATGAATATTAATTATTTATAAAGCGCATAAAACACTTCATTTTAATGGATGGAAATGTGGTAATGATATTTACCTGACTGGTTTTCTTCTTGTTATTCTTCAAAGACAGTTTTGGGTCATCGTAAACTTTGAATTAAAAACATATTCTGCGAACGGCTTAACCTGTCATCGTATTAAATCATGTTTATCAGTATGCAGACAGTCAACATACCTCAAATATTATAATATTTTAGTTAATATTGTAAGTGATGTATTGCCTAATTCACGAGCCGCCACTGACCTTCAGATCTTAAAGACATATGTTATAAGAAGACAAGAACTAAAAACGCAAGACTTGTTGACGTAATGGCTAGCCTGAATTTCTTTTCTTAGTCTCTATGACGTGAGTAAAGAGAGTTCACAAAATGCACTCCACAATATCACTCCACCAAGGTCAGCAGTGGAATGATTGTCGAACAGCAATTTATGCCAAAAGAAGCTGTCATGTGCGCATGCGCACTGCTTAACAACTGAATCACGGCTTCCGTGAATGAGACAGGTTTCCAAGCGTGTTACTTTGTTCTGTGTTGTTAAAGTTGTTGAATTTTTGTGCTTAAAATTCGTGAAGAACACTGAAATGTGAAATCATTGTTTGGCTACTGGAATGGAAAGACATTTGACGGTAAGTTTTGGTCCCCAAGGTGAATAAGAGAATGTCCCTCATATTTTTAATACCAGTCACTGCTGTCAAGGTTAAAACTTGGCAAAAAGAATTCTGTACTTTTTGGAAATTTGGGCCAAATCAGACCAAAGTCCGGCTATCTACAAAGCTATTCGTTTTACACGGCCTGTGTAATTAAAACTGGGGATAACTGAGCATATAAGGTGGATGGAACTGATTCTGTATCGTGTCCAAAGCGCGTTCATAACTGGTGTTGAACCTTGAGGGTCTGATACGAGAAGGCTTTGTTGAACTAGTAACTTTTTCATCTGTTACAATATAGCCTATAGCCTATATAGCAGCTCATCAGTAAAGTGATTGAGCGGTCGGGAACTGATTCCGAAATGGGGCGCTAAACCATTTCTGGAATCCAATCACCTTTCTATGCTATGGGTACGGGAGGGCAGGGGGCTATTTTCCCGGGTGCAATTCGACCCAGGCTTTAACCTGACCATTCACCTCTGTCAAATATCTATGTTAAGACAGGGCTCATCCAAAAGCAACTAGCAGCTTGCAGCAAGCAATCCGAGATATCAAAACAGATCAAATTTGTAATTTGTGAAAATATTGGTCAGTGTAATAATCATTTATGACATATTTATCTGTATTATTATCAATGTTGGTTGGTTGCTTCTTTGATTGGCTGTTGGTGAACATTTGCTGCAGCAAAATTTTGGTCTTTGTGTAAAAAATTATAACTTTGTGTTGTTATTACGTTGGCCATAACAAAAGTAAAGTTATGTCTCCACACGCCATCTAGGCGCTGCGGGGGGAGAGAATATATTCTCTCATTACAACTGGGCACTAGATGGGGGTGAGTGGTCAGCGTCACGCCTCGGCCGCGCTTAACCCAGGGGAAAGGACCGCGGTACCCATGAAGAGGAGGCTGGGTGGGCCCCAGAGCCGGTCTTTACTCAGATGCCAGAGAAAAATCCTTTCTTTACCCCTGCTGGGGATCGAATCCCTATAGCCACAATAAGATTATTTGTTGTTATGGTATTTTGGTCTTTATGGGAAAATATGAACGTTGTTAAAACAGGTCTAATACGTACGTACATTTACGTTCAGTGCAAAGGCGCGAAGTTGTAAGTTAAATCTAAGATCATATTTGAGATTGTGGTACAAAAGATCATATTATATTTGTTAATTAAGCAAATATATGTAACGGTTTTAATTTCCTTTTTTGTGTTTGGCCTACAACATAGCACGATTTTAAATTACAACGCACTGAAACAAAAGACTATCTACTCATCCACGGCCTACGATACACAATGCTTGTTCTTCTGTACAACGCAGCAAAACATATTTTCTACGTGTTAACGCTTCACAGCTTTTGTAGTTAAGAGAAGATAATAATTTTCATTTTTTGCACTGCTTTGCCAGATTTTACAATAATAAAGTGTTTTATATGCACTATAAACTTTCCGCGAGCCTTGTCGGGTAATTTTATAATATTCTATAATATACACTACCTTACTAATCTGTCGTTCTTCATTAGCCTTATTATTATCTACTATGATTTGGCTTAAAACGTCGTTTTACGTTTTATATTTACTAGACGATGGATAATATCCAAGGAAATTTTTATTCAATTGACTCTTCACCATCGTCAAGAAGTTTTAGATTTGATATAAATTACTTTCGTTTCGGTGTGAATTGTTCACAAAGTAATGCTTGGTGTCCCTACAAGCGACATCTGTCTTGCATCGCGTGTTGCTTGTCATAAATTGTTTCGGTGTGAATCATTGCAAAAATAAACCAAATTACGTATGCGCATGTAGTATTTAACTTTTAAAATGCAAGGCGGCCCAGCGCGTTCAATTAAAGACCTCCGTTACTAAATTTCATAAATTTTCATCAAATCATCTAAGAAATGACAAGGCTCGAAAGATGTCATTCATACTACATCACGTAGACCGCCTTTGCACTTATATGGCCCAAGTGCATTCTTGCGTCTTATATCATTCTTGCGCTGATTTAATTCAATGTCTTTCTTACGCAAAATTAAGTTCCAACAACAGGACCTACTGTCCCGTTGAAAAACGCAACAGTCCGAGGAACAGATAAATGGACGGCCATATTATGTCCGAGCGGGTTACTACAGCGGTAACATTCTACCTACAAGGACCAAGTTGAAATCCTGGCGAGTTACTGAACTGCATTTAATCACAAAAGAGTCCTGTCAAATCCTTCTTCATTCGTCAGCCATGATGATATTCGCATTCCAATCTGCAATGATGTCGTTATATTACACTTTTTTCCAAAAATGTTCCTCTTGGTGTGCGTGCTTTAAGTCACGACCAGATCATGAACCATTGTGAGCTTGTGTGTACACATGCGTGCGTGCATACTTTGATTCACTTGTCGCTTATACAACTTTTTGTAACACGCATACAGTTCGTAGAAGAATGTAATAGATTAACATTTTGTTAAGTACCAGTGACCTAGGCGTTCAAAATATCGAGATTAAGTACAGGCTGGCTGGAAAATCATAACATGAACGAATGTGAAAAGAGCGTGAAATACTAGGCCCTGACACAAGGACGAAACAGAAGATTACTGACGTTTAACAGGTGCATGCCGTCTCCATCATCGGGGCGATCACTACGCGGCTGAACAACCCAGACGACAGCCATCTTCGGACACCGATATTAATCTCCGTAGAGCACAGTCTTTCTTGAGAAGCTGGTAGTGCCTCATTTGGTCAAGAAGCTCCAAGTTTTGTAGGCAATCAGCAACCCGCCCTGTTTCGCCATTACTGCCCTTTATTGTGGGTCGAAATGCGTCTTCTCATTTTTATTTATGAGATTCCACCTTTCGCTGCATTCAGTCAAATGGGACACTGGTTATAATTGCAAATACCCCTATCTGTCCCTTACATGCCGCTTTACTTAACTTTAAGCAGTGTTAAGGTTTGTGTTTACAGCGAAACGTCGAGGCCAGGAGGTTAGCACGCCTGCTTCGTATTCCGAAGGTCCCTGGTTCAAATGTCAGAATGGACATCTTATATCGTGTGTAGTATTTGCTTGTTGTGTTTTCAGATAATTCAAATGGAACTCAGCATGGATGGTACTGGCCAGACTTTTCTTTCTTTCTTTCTTTCTTTCTTTCCTGAATTGTCTGGAGCACTTTTTACATTTAGCCCAGCCAGAGAACTCATCAAGCTGCAAATAGAATTTTACATACACAATGGTCAATACTTTGTTGGTCCAATGCATTCTCATTTAAAGAAAAGATTTCTCTTTCCATCTGGAAAAGAAATTCGATACTTTAAATGTTACTGTACGTATGAAATTCGTTACAGACATGCTACTAGGACTAGGTTTGAAGTGCCTTGGTTTCCATAGCAACCACATTCAGAGAAACGTTAAATATTGTCAGGATCTGCTCTCAGATGGAGGTCAGAAGACTTTGGCGATATTTTCAGCAAATGGAGTCTCGTTGCTTGAACAAAATTGTCGTATTTCACTGAAATGAGATACTTAAGCAGTTTACAAATAATATGCACACTCATTTCAAAATGATACGTCGTATAATGAACTGTATGTGCAAATTATATAAGTCATGTAATTTATTTTGTTATATTACGAATTACAGAAAAAATTCTGCAATTTTTCTCGCTGTGTCTGTTTATATATTTTAGTTAATAACTTCCGACCTAACTCCAAAATTCCTTTTTAGAAGCTGGTAGTTACTCAGGTGATCAGAAATCACCTAGAGCTAATTTGTGTTCACAACAGCCCGCCACTAGACCACACAGCGAACCAGATAATTTAATTCTCACACCCTACTTTTTTAAGACCCATTTTACTCGTCTCAGAACTTATTTCTTCTATCAAGGTTTCCCGACTAAAATTTTGTACACAGTTCTCATTCTCTGATACGTACTACTTGCACCGCTCATCTCACTCTCCTTGATTTCATCACCCTAATAATATATGTTGATGAGACTGGCTCTGGGACCCAACTCGGCTCCTATCCAGTGGGTACCCGGAAACTTTTCCTTTGGTAAAACGCAGCCGGAGCGTGAGGCTGACCTCTCATCACCATCTAGTTCCGAGGTCAAGAATGATTAGGAACTATACAGCCTCCCCCCCTGTAAAGTGCCCATATGGCATATAACGGGACAGATTTATTTTACTTTACTAAAAATATATGTTAAAGTATCACAAATTTTAAGCCCCTTATTGTGAACTCTACCGTCGCCTTGAAGTTCATGCCAAAAAACTAAGTTTCGCGTCACTGGTTCAACATTACCCAAGTCAGCGTTTGTACTCGGATATCGGCTTTAAAACCCATTACACAGATTTCTTACTTAGCTAACCCGTCATCTATAAGCATGTAACTGACTTTAGTTTAGTCATTCTTAAGTTAAACTTCATTTCTCAGAATTATAACCGGTAGTTCTTGTGTTAAACTCCAATCCCTTGTCATTCCATTAATCTGTCTTGAATTTTTTCGAAAAGTATATAAAGTATGCTGACTCCATCATCAGGCCGATAAGTACTCATCGCCCTGATGATGGAGGCAGCAAGGGCCTCTGAAACGTTAATAAACTTCTACCAGACCACACGTCGCTACAACCCAGAAGACAGCCAACTTCAGACTCACTGTCGTGAAAACCTCAAATTCTACTTAAAATGTATTTCGATCCAAGACTCACATAATGAGTGATAAGACGGCCAATGATTTGATAATGATGATTATTCAATTGAATTCAATTTCTT